ACCAGGCAGCGACCGGCCACCCAAGCCCCAGAAGGTTTAGGCACTTCCGGGACTCTCGGAAGCCTGGGAAGCGGGTTCTCTGCAATTGGAATAAACTTGCGACCGTCTGGTATAACAATTATATGAATAATCCGCCCCCCTTACCCCCAGCTGAAACAGTCAGGATTCTCATTTAGATTTTTGTGGTTGTTTTCCCTTCTGTTAACCTCTAAGCACAGTGCCTTGCTGTGCGCTGACTTCAGAAAACTACAGCTAGAGGTCACGTGAACGCTGAGAACAGCAGGTAAAGAGCAAATGTAAGAGCCATCTGGGTTTAAATCCAGCCTGGTATTCTCCAGCTGTTCGCATAACTGCTCCTGAAGCTCAGAAAAGAGGGTGGTAGAGCCACCTTGCTGGAAAGTTTTAAGAATAGGAATAAAGAAATGCATTAAAATTTAGTGCAGTTCTTCCACATAAACACTCAGTAAATGGAAGATATTGTTTAAAAGCATGTCCACATAAATTTGACAACAAATAACTACTGAGACCTATACTGTGTGCTTGGTGGTGTTCTAGTCTTTGGGAATACAGCAATGAACAAAACAGACTCTGCCTCCCCAGCCATGCTGCCATTCTGGTGGGCAGAAAATAAACATATAAATAAGTTTAGGCAGGGCTAAGTCTTTTGAAGAAAGTAAAGTAGGGGAATAGTATATGAGTGAGCTGGTGGGTTTTGGCCAGTGGTCTTCAGATAGTCAGAAAGATGTCATTAACCACACTTTTAGAGGAGAAGACTGAGGTGAGGCATTAGTGACCAGCAGGTAAAACAAAGTATAAAAGAATACTGGAAAGCAGGTTCAGAGGTTCAGAAAGGATGTAAAAACTCAGTGGCCTCAAGCCTTGAGTGCCTGCTTAATATTTTCCCAAGAGAAATTAATGGGCTGTAAGAAAGTAAGCCAATAATAAAGGTTGCTGGAAACCCGTCCCTCTCCTCCCACTGTTCTTTGACCAAGCATCTGACAAAAAAAATAAATAAATAAATAAATAAAAAAAAATAATAAAAATTCAGGTTTAGGATTCAAAACAAGTGGTTTAACTCTTGGTTCTACCACTGATTTGGTCAAGCCCATGCTTGTTTTTTCTTTCTTTCTTTTTCTTTTTCTTTTTTTTTTTTTTTTTTGGTCTTTAAAATGAGAATTTTAAGGGATATTTAGGATTCCTTAAGCCTCTATGATGTACCAGACTTTCTACTGTCTGCTAAGAATACAGATATAACAAGTGTAATTTCTGTCCAAAAGGAACACTTAGGGGCCTGATGAATATTTCCCATAGTAAGTTGGAAGATCAATGTTGTTAAATATTGAAGGCCAAGGTCTTGATTTCCATCCTCAGGAGAATGTATTCTTTATCTGACTCCAGTATTTTTCAATGTAGAAGACATAAAACATGTTGTATTCCTCAGCCTCCGGGTTTTCTTACAAACTTCATTTCATCTCTTGATGCTACTTGAGGGCAATGAATGTGACAGCTCCAAAAATATTACAGGCATGCAATAAAGAAAAGCAAACAATGTTATCTACTTATTTGCATGCACACTCTGTCTTAGACACTGTGCCAGGCTCTCCACATGCATGGTTTCACTTCTTCCTCTCAACAATCCCATGAACTATGCACTCCCTCTTAATAGGCAAGAAACTGAGGCCCAGGAAGTTTAAACGAATGGCCCAAATTCAATCTATATTTCGCCCAACACCAAGCCACTGCACTGGCTCTCAAATACTTTTTCTTTCCTGTTTGAAATGAGGACAACATAATTTTTAGGGCAACAAAATGATAGCTTTTCTTTCTTCTCCCCATAACAGCTGAAAATGCAATTCTTTTTTCTGATTTTTAATTTTTGTGGGAACTTAGTAGATGTATGCATTTATGGGGTATGTGTGACATTTTGATACAGGCATGTAATGTGTAATAATCACATCATTGAAAATGGGGCATCCATCCCCTCAAGCATTTATCTTTTGTGTTGCAAACAACCCAATTATACTCTTTCAGGTATTTTTAAATGTATAATTCAATTATTTTCACTATATTCACCCTGTTGTACTACCAAATACTAGGTCTTATTCATTCTTTCTATATTTTTTTGTACCTGTTAACCATCTCCACCTCGCCTCCAGGCCCTCACTACCCTTCCCCACCTCTGGTAATTATCCCTCTACTCTCTAGCCCCATTAATCAAATTGTTTTGATTTTTAGACCCCATATATGAGTGAGAACATGCGATGTTTGGCTTTCTGTGCCTGGCTTATTTCATTTGACATAATGACCTCCAGTTCTGTGCATGTTATTACAAATGACAGGATCTCATTCTTTTTTATGGCTGAATAGTACTCCATTGTGTATAAAAGTACGTCATTTTTTTTAAACCCATGTTGATTGATACTTGGGTTGCTTCCAAATCTTGGCTATTGTGAATAGTGCTGCAACAAACATAAGAGAGCAGACATCTCCTCAATATACTGATTTCCCTTCTTATGGGTATATACCCAGGAGTGGAATCGCTGGATCATACAGTAGCTCTACTTTTAGTTTTTTTGAGGAACTGCCAAACTCTTCTCTAAATGGTTGTACAAAAATGGAATTTTTAATCCTATCTCACATAAAAATGCCCCAAATCTAGGTTGAGAGGAAATCACACTTAATCGTCTGCTAACTCAGAGAAGAAAATCTAATCACTTCTTTTAAAAAAATTATTCTGACAAAAAGGAAACATTTACTTATGCACTAAGATAAGAGATTGCTTGTGCAATAAACTTGCAGATGATTTTTAAGCTTTTTGTTCAATTTGGATGGAATGCAGTGTGTTGCTATAATGAGGGTAGGGCTGGATACTAAGGAAATTGAGGAAAAAAATGGCACATCTAGAAGAAGCATCCACAGTCAAATCAGTAGACCACTGAGGTATTTTTTTAAGACTGCATAGAGGTGGGCAACATGTTGCAAGATGAGAAGTTGTGTACTTGGCAAACTTAGAGCTGACCTTCACTGATTTGGAAGTTGAAGATTACCCAACCATTGCAGGTTTATCAGTTCTTTCTTGTTTATCTTCATGTGCAGAAGGTTGAGTTAATCATAATCCATGAGTTCATGGCACAGAAACAAAACCTACATGACCTATCTCTTGTTGTTTTATTCGTTCTCTTTTATCATAATTCTTCACTCTCATTGCCTTTCCCCAGAGGCAACTTCTCTAATATGACATTTGGCCTTGAACTTGTAAAATACATAGAAATGTTTGTGCATATCTTTCGTCTATTTTTCATGGATATGTGATGTGGCATTACAGATGTACTATAATCTATGGATGTACTGTAGATTTCATAGTTTCTTTTTTCTTTCAACTGTGTTCTTAGGATCTAGCCATGCTGCTGAATATTTATCTAGTTCTTTGCTTTTCTAATTGATTCAGAATATCCCAGTGTGTATCTGCCACATTTGACTTCTTTATTTTCCAGTTATGGATAGCCATTTCTAATTTTTCACCACCCCAAACAATACTGTGATGCATTTCCTTATATTTCTTCCTTTATAGGCCTGGGGTAGAAGTTTTCTGGGATATAAGAGTGGGGTTATTATGAATCACAGGGAACATACACTCTTTCACGAAGTGCTGCCAGATTGCCCTTTAGAGTGACTTGGACCAGTCTCTATGTCCACCAGAAGGCAAAAGAGTTCCTATTGCTGGATATATCTAATATGTGGTGTTCTCCAAAGGTCAGAATTTTTGCCAACCTGATCAGCTAGAGCTGGTGTGTTTTTTTTTTTAATTTTAATTTCTCTCATAACTAATGAGTCTGAGCATCCTTTATGTATTTATACCTCTTAGATTTCCCATGCTGTGAATAGTTTATCATCATATTCTCTGCCCATTTTCTACTAGGATTCCTGTCTTATAGATTTGCTGCAATAATTTCTATGGTCCAAATATTAGCTCAGTCACTGAACACATTGCCTCCCAATCACTGTCACTTAACTGTCAACTGGTGTCCTTCCGTGATTAAACAATAAAACAAGTAATTTTGAAATAATAAGTCCATCCTTTAAAAAACTGTTGTGGTTTGTAGTATAGAGTATTGTTTAAGAAGTCCTTCCCCATCCCAAAGTTCCAAAGAGGTGCTCTTCTCCCTATCATCTAGACCTTTCATATCTAGATCTTTAATCTACCTGCATTGTAGATCTACCTGTACAAGCCTTGGGGATTTCTTAGAGGCTTTTCAACATGGTCCCACAGTCCAGGTAATACCACCTGACTTAAAGAGGTCCACCCTCAGTCAATTGTTTTTTGGGATTATCTCACCATGCAGCCTATTTTAACTTTCTGCTAGATATATAGGTCAAATTTCCTTTCTGTGATTTGAAAGTTATTCCTTGTATTTTTATTTTTTTGCTATATTTTTATTTTTTTACTCCAAGTTATATTATCTCCAAGTTATATAATTTCTTCCTTTTAGATATCATTTTTCTTTCATTTATTTTTGAGAAGGTGAGCACTCATATGGCTCAAACATCAAAATGTAAAACCTAGTGAAAATTATTTTACATTCCCCTGTTCATTAGGCACTTGATTCTCTTCTCCAAAAGTAACCAATGTTGTCAGTTTCTTCTAGAGATTTTTAAGCAAATAATTATGATAGTGTATGTGCATATATTCCTTCCCTCCTTTTCTTACAGAAATAGTAGTGTACCATACATGATTCTAACTCCTGCCTTTTTTTTTTTTTTTTTTTTTTGAGATGAAGTCTCGCTCTGTCGGCAGGCTGGAATACAGTGGTGCGATCTCGGCTCACTGCAACCTCTGCCTCCCAAGTTCAAGTGATTCCCCCATCTCAGCATCCTTAGTAGCTGGGACTACAGGTGCACACCACCATGCCCAGCTAATTTTTTGTATTTTAGTAGAGACAGGGTTTCGCCATGTTGGCCAGGATGGTCTCAATCTCCTGAACTCATGATCCACCCACCTCGGCCTCCCAAAGTGCTGGGATTACAGGTGTGAGTCACTGTGCCCGGCTGTAAATCTTGCCATTTTAAACTTTAAACTTAATGATATATCTTGAGGTCACCCTGCTTACTACATGAAGACCTTCTTTATTCTTTTGTAATGGCTCCATTGTATTTTTATGTGGATTATCATAATTTATTTCATCAGTACTCTGTTGGTAAGTATTAACATTTATGTTGTTTCTAATCTTTCACATTACAAATAATGCTCTAATGAAGAACTTTGTATGTATCATTTTACATATATGTCAGAAGATATCTATGTGAAATAATACCTTAAGTTGAATTTATGTGTCAAAGGATATGAGAATTTATCATTTTAGTACATATTGACAAATTACCCTTTAAAGGATGACCATATAATTTATTATCCATGTGGGAATGTTTTGATAGTGAAATGAGGTACTAGTTATAATTACACTGAAAAAAAAAACAGATATAAATTGGACTGTCTCCGTTAAACAGTTATGTATAGTCTATCAATCCATATGAGTTTTACCAACTTACACTTTACCAACATAATAAAAGAATGTCCACTTTCCCTATACTTTTCAACCCAATGTGACATTGTATACTTCACCACTGGGCAATGTCAAGAAGTAAGTTCAGATATACAGAAAGACCAGACATCACTTGATTAAATCAAGAGGTCTGCTGAGTCAAGATTCACAGCACAAAAGGTCATCAATATCACCTACGAACAAGCAGGATGTACGTTTACAGCCTGCAATCTTCAGCAGGGCATACACACTTGTGGATGACAATGCCTGTGTGAATGAGAGATGCTAGACCTTATGGAAGCTCAGCTTCCCCTTCACACACAGCCTGATGAGCATGAGACTAAATCAGTTCTGGACAGAGACTTGACTGTATACAACACACTTGGTTTCAGCATAACACATTAATCTTACTCACACATTGCACAGTTTGGTGAAGAGGATATAGCACAGGGTACCCTTATGGCTGAACAAACTTCTCATTAATCATATTCAAGCTCTTCATGCTAATGTAAACTGCTTGAACCAAGAACACTTATGAATTTATTGCTGTGGGACCAGAATAAATGTTAGGTACCCAGACATGTGGCCTATAGACCATCCATGAGAACTTACCAGAATTTTTGATTCTCACCATTCTGGAGGGGGAAAAAACACATTATAGTTTAAATTAGAATGTACCTTATTTTGAGCAATGTTTGTACACATTTAAAAGTAATTTCTATTGTAATTTCTGTGAACTGTCTATACCTAAGATGGCTAAATTCTGATTATTTCTCTAATGGGGTATTTTATACATGTCTTGGGGATTTCCCAGAGGCTTTTCAACATGGTCTCACAGTCCAGGTAATGCTACCTGACTTAAAGAGGTCCATCCCACAATCAATTTTCTTTTGGGGTAATTTCCCTGTGCAGCCTATTTCAAGAAAAACATACCTTTGTCCTGCCAGTGGTGGAGTCCAGCTTCTTCTCTGTCTATGCTCAATATTCAAAGAAGTTATCCAGGTTTTTGCCTTTATACACGAGTTAGGCAGTTTCTACACCCCCAAAGTCCAGAGGACATAGGCCAAACTCTCTGGTAGGTTCTTTTTAACCTCCCTAACTTGGTATAAGGTGAAGAGGAGGGAACCCTTTTCCCCTTCCAGTGGAAGCAAAAGAAAAATGTCACAGCACACTGGTACATCTCTAGTGAAATTCTCTTTCCAGCCATTTGTTTTAGTCTTCTGGTTTGTCCTTATAAATCCTTACAGTGAGTATTGAGTCTAATCCCACAAAATGGGATTCTTCATCTCTTAGCATGTCCTGTATAGAAAGTTTCCAACTCCAAAGCAGCAAAAACAAAACAATCACATTCAATGTACTATTAGCAGCAACTAGACTGATGGGTTTTTAAAGATTAAGCTATTTCCTTAAATATTTAACCAGTTTTATGCATTTGTACAGAATTTAGGAAATGGGGATGTTAGAGACAATTTCCATGGCATTTCCACATGTCTTGGACTACCTTTTCAAGGATACATGCACAGCAAAGACCTTTAGAGGCTAGAGATAGTTTGTCTCTTTGGGTCAGACAGCAGAATTATTTCTTGACACGTATAATAATTATAGAGAACATCTGCATCTCTGAAGACGTTCCATAATGATAAAATCTTCAACATCTCATCAGAAGAAAACTTGTTTCCATGCCAAGGTAAAGACAATGCCTGTCTTTGTAGAGGAGGATGAGGAATTTGCCATCAGCTTCTGTATGGATCAGAATGTCCCAAGCTCAGTGATTCTCGGCTGTGAAACTGTACGCTTGGCATCCACCTGGATCCACTCTGCATTACCCATGGACTTGGGAGACAAGGAGAATCAATGAAAACATGGACCTAATGTTGCTTGTTGTGCCCTGAACAATAAACTGTGTGAATTCATTTGGGTCCCTGGTTTACTCATTTGCCAATGTTATGAAAGTGTAGAAAGTCTGCCTAGAAGTTACACTGATGTTTAGGAATTGCTTGGCAACTTGATATGAAAAAAAGGGAGCTGTGGCATATACAGCTAGGTTCTCCATTTTCTGTCCTTTTTTCTCATGGAAATAGAAACTCAAGGTTAGTTATCCCCAATCCTTTATAGAATAAAAACTGCCTTTCCCAGCCTTTCTTTCAGCTGAGTGTAACTCCAGGTCTAATATTTGACAAAAGAAATGCAAGGAGAAGTAGTCTGTGCAATGCCTAAGTATTGCCCATAGAGGAGGCATACCCTTCTCTTTCCATTTTCTCCTTCTTGCAGGCTGGAAAAATGCTGACTGGAGCAGGAGCAGCCATACTGAATTATAAGGTAAATTTAGGAATGGAGCCATGTTTTTCAGGGCAAAGGAGGAAAGGTTCAAGATAGAAGATGCATTAGTGGTTATTGATACCATAAAGCATCACTTCAGCAGCCTTAGACTGCTGACTTAGAATTTTATGAGAAAAATTAACTTCTACTTTGTTTAAACTCTTTTTTTTTAGAGTTTCTGTCACTCACAACCAAATATAATCCCAACAATCTAAGAGACATGGAATGATATTTAAGATGGATTTACTTGTCCTAAAACTATTCTTTCTTCATCAGACTTCAGAGAAAAATGCAATGTCTCATTGCAAACACTAAGGGAACTTCCTAAAAAGTCAGCATGGCTCACGAACTTCTTCAGAACCTTGTTTCCATGGCATCCTTCTTTTTAGTCTAACTTTTCCCTCACAGACAACCCAGAAATCTAAAGAGCAGCCAAAGCCCACATAAATCCAATGCAATCAAGGTATGAAGTCATGGTTTTCATTAAAATAAGATTTCAGGCAGGCTATTCCAGGAATTCTTAGCAGAATTTAGCCTTTACGTTGAGTCATAATAAAGTCAATTAGTAAATCAAGTGCATTTGATCAAAGTTTAAGTACAAATCAATATATATATAATATACATTATATGTATGATCTCAAGACTCTGAAGCCATTGCATTATCATCCCTTCTCGGCAACATCAGAGTGAGATCACTGAGTGCTGTCATTCATGCACACATTTATTCAACAAATGTTTGTTGAAGATGTACTAAGTGCCAGACCCTGTTTGTGATGAACAGGACAGTCAAGGTTACTACTCAAAGTGATTTCACATCCTATTAGGAAACATGAACATTAAACAAATAGTCACAAAAGACAAGATAAACTCAATACTTACAGTGACCAAGAAGACATTGAGTTTTAAAAAGAGGTAAGAGACTATATGGGGATACTGGTTTAAGTTGGGTGCTGAGGGAAAATCTATTCAACAAGATGATATTTGAGCTGAGAACTGAGTGATAGAAAGGCTCCAAATGCAAAGAGCTGGGGGAAGGGATTTCTGGTAGAGGAAACACCTATACAAAATCTCTAATGTATGAGTAAATGGGACTTTTTTTGAGTAGCATACATAAGCCAGTTGTGGTGGGGGTAAAGAGAGTGAAAAGGAGAGAGATATAAACTGATTCTGGAGAAGTAGGCAGGACAAATTCATGTCACTGGTTCATAGCCAGTTGTGAGCTAAAAGTATTAGGTTGGTGCAAAAGTAATTGCGGTTTTTGCCATTAAAAAAATGCAAAAACCACAATTACTTTTGCACCAACCTGATAGTTCACATAGATGCTCCAGAGACTATTTTTCAAGAACTAATCAATAATTTTGTGAGCATATTTCTAAACAGAACCACAATTTAAAACTAAATTATGTAAATTTGTGATTAAATCAGTTATATTAAAAACAAAGGTAATAAATACTCCAAGAAGATTACTTCTAATTATTTTACTGCATTTTATTAGTATCTATGCTTTTAACATTATTTTATGTCCATTGTATCTATGTGGTAGAAATATGACATAATACGCTACTGCACGTCTCTTCCCAATTCTGTGTTCAGTGACATGATGTTGGTAACTTGAAGTCAGTCATAGAGTTAGTCTTTACATCATGAAAATTAGCAAAGACTGTTTGTTCGGGTGGGGGGTTGCTAAACCTTTACCGAAACCCCACTGACTATTACTATGGTAGCAAACTCACAAATAGGACTGGATTGAAGTCTGATGGCTCAGAGGACAGAGCAACAATATGATTAGGAATAGAAGACACTTAGGGGCAGAGCAGGCTCAGCCATTGATAACAGAGAAAGGGACATCAAATCCAAGGTTATCAGGGTGTACTTGGTCTGAAGAAAAATTCAAGGTGAAAGCTAGGGGAAGCTGCCAAAATGGAAGGCTTAGGAGTAAGGATCAATACTCACCTGGTCAATTCGTACAGTACATCTTCAAAAACATTTTTTTTTTTCTGACTCATTACTCCTAGTCAGAGGTGGGCACCCTTCCTTGACTCAGACAGTGCCTGGCAGTTTTCTCTGTAAACTCACACATTCTTCTTGTGATTTTGTTTCCACTCTTCTGTCTCCTCTCCTGGACTAAGAACTCTCAGGACAGAGATCAAATATTTGTATTTCTAAATTCTCAGGACTAAGCATGGTGACTGGTTCACATTATGTGTTAAATGCTTACTAGTATAATCAGAAATGTAGAAAAAATATGCACAAGTATGTTCAAGATTATAAAAGTGTGATATTTTAAAATTTACACAATTAAACTATGAATAGTTACTGATAAAAGATATAAAGATTTGTATTCCTCATTATGTAGATACGTCAAGAAGCATACACCCCAACCTTATGCCAAAAAACAAACAAAAAACAAAAAACATAAACCTAGAAAGAGGCAGTGTTTTGTTTAGATTGTGAAATCAGGAGTGATATTTTGTTTGTCACATTTATTCTTTCCCACTTACATGTACGTAAGGAAGTACAGTTGCAAGGGAAAGTATAGTTTGCCTAAAACTATATTGGATTTCTAGTTGAACATGAATGAAATATCCTTCAGCTTTATTTTTTCTATTTCATTCCTCCTGGGAAGAGAGAGAAAAAAAATTAATTCAGCACTTAGTTACTCAGTACCAGGTACATTGGAACCAGGTTATCTCACTTGATACTTTCTACAGTCCAATGAGATAGGCTTTTATTTTAAATTTTTTTAATGTTTAATATTTGCGGGTACATAGTAGTTTTATATGTTTGTGGGGTACATGAGATATTTTGATACAATCATACAATGTGTCATAATCACATCAGGATAGATGGGGTATCTGTCACCTCAAGCATTTATCCTTTCTTTGTGTTACAACAATCCAATTATACTTTTAGTTATTTTTAAATGTACAATAAATTACTGTTGACTGATAGGTTTTTAGTATTCTCATTGTGTGGATGAGGAATCTGAGATATTGTACTCTTCTGGGATAGAAAGGAAAATATCAGGTATGGTGATGTCACGGCTGAAGAAAGTCCCCATTATCTTTTCCCTCTGGTTCTCAAGGGAAGCAAAATGTTTAGTGGAAGGGGTGTGGTCTAAACACCCCTGTCCACTTAGAGACCCCTGACCCTTGCAGGGACTTGGTAGGTTCGACCATTTGAAAGCTTAAGTTTTGGTGACTGCAGTCATTACTCATCTAATAAAAAAATTTGGAGGCACATATTCTGAGGTACACAGTCCATCAGGCCATATGGTGCTCAGTTTCCTGATAACACACAGACCTGATCATGGATATGAATTCTTTCTCTAATTCCTCTGTGTCTGTCTCACCAGGGGAAAAAGCTGGCTGAGCTCTAAGGCTAAGGAGACACTTGGAGGACTAGATATGAGATTCATCCATCCAATCTAAAAGTATTTATTCAGCTTTTGCTGCAAGAGAGCCACTGTTCTAGGTTTCATGGTTACAACTGCCTTCCTAAGTTTGTGCTTCTTGTAGGAAATGGAGATTGATACGGTTTGGCTGTGCCACCACCCAAATTGGGGCGTTCTCATGCCCCCATGCTTCTGTTCTCATGGTAATAAATGAGTTTTCAGGATATCTGATGGTTTTATAAGGGATTTTTTCTCTTTTGCTAGGCATTTTTCCTTCCTGCCACCATGTGAAGAAGGATGTGTTTGCCTCCCCTTCCACCATGATTGTCAGTTTCCTGAGGCCTCCTCAGCCCTGAAGAACTATGGGTCAATTGAACCTCTTTCCTATATAAATTACCCGGTCTTGGGTATGTCTTTATTAGCAGCATGAGAACAGACTAATACAGACATTAGTCAAATCACAGGAATAAATTCAAATTTGTAATCTTAACAAGAACCACGAAGGAGATGTACATAATACTCTGAGAACTTTTCCCTAGGAAGTTTTCACAATCTCAGAGAGCAAAGTTGAAATATCTAGATGAACAGGGAAGGGAAGAACCTGGAACCTTCCAGAACCTTCCAGGCAGAGGGAATAGCATGAGCAAAGGTCATGGTGTAGAAACAATGGGGAACTTGGTTGAAGATGTGAGTGGAAAGCTCCTTGGGGTAGACCATGTCAACCATGGCAAGGAACTTCTATCTTTATCCTGAGAGTTGGAGTGCCCTTGAAGTGTGTAATCAGAGGTGGCTCCATGATCTGTGCATTTTTACAAGACCACTCTGGTTGCAAGGCGGAGAGTGGAATGGAGGGGATCAAAGGCTGTTAATAGGTGATTGCACTTGTCCAGGTGAGAAATGGCCATGATGCCTTGGAATAAAGTGATACTGAGGGTGAAGATGAAGAAAATAGGATGGATTTGAGAAAAATTTAGAAATTTTAAAGAGGAGTCAGTTTAGATATGAGCCAGCATGAGAAACAGGTCAAAGATGACTCCTAGTCTGCTAAGTAGATGGAGGGAATGCCATTCTCAGAGATAGCTCCATTTCTAATTTTGAAGGAACAAAGAGATCCATTGAGTTGTGATCTTCAATCTAACCATTGAGAAGATCCCTGTGGACCTGGGACTCATTGAGATATTAAGTAGGAGACCTTCTATTATGTGTTGTTTCTACAAACTATTTTTCTATTTGTATTTTACATTTTGATTTACAGAGTATTTTCAAATACATTATCTGTAAGTTATAGATTGCTATCCCCATTTTGAAAATGAGGAAATAAAGTGAGTAGTTAAGTAACTTGTTCAAAGTCACACTGGCTATCTGAATCCAAATTCAATGCTCTTTATTTTATTTCTGCCATTCATTCATTCAGTACGTGTTTACCACCTACTCACAGGCAGCAGAGGCAGATTCATCATGGAGCTAATGAACTAAAGCTTTAGAGCCTCACATCTACATAAGCTCTGAGGCTCTTAGAGGAATCCTAGAAATGAGTTCGTCTGGTTACATATTTTCATCTTTTTTTTTTTTTAATTTGCCAAAGTAGGATAGTTAAACCACAGTCAGGTATGACTGCCATCTCTTCCCACATTAACATCCTCTCCATCATGCTTCTCCTCATGGCCAGTGGCCACAGACATCTTTGAGATCCAGATAAGAACAGGGTAGGATGAAAATTAATGTAGTGTATAGTGGTTATATTGACATCTTTTACACCTACTTTTATAAGAGTTGTTTTCCTGGCTAAGTGTAAGAAGAAATTCCAGGAATGCCCCTGCTGTCCACTATGCTGAGTTACTGGGTCTTAAGGTCTTGAGAAGAAGTTTGGAGAGCATGTAATATGGGGTCTAGTTCTCTCTAATCCCTGATCAAAACAGAATTTCTCTCCTTGTCAGGAATATACTTGATAGTAAAGCAAAAACACACACCTTTTCTTCCCCATTTCTGTTGAGAATTGTGTGAAATCAATTTACAATAATTCCTGTGTTTGTAAGGCACAAATCTATAGTAGTTCTACAACTACACATTTCAGTATATTTGTGTGAAGTGATATGTCTTAGGTATCTATAGTATCAATAATAAAAAAACAAAGTTCAATCATGTTATAGAAAAAATAAATTTTTTATTCTCTCTGAAGATAATGAGAGTAAAAATTACGAGATAATCAGAGTGTACACCAAAAATATAGAAACAATTACTACAGAGGTTGATTCAATAATTTTTAAATAAAAATATTATATAATTTACCTGGAATTTGTGGCATTTTGCCAGCCTTCAGTAATGTGGAATTTCCTTGGGTTTTTGTTCTAAAGACATATTTATTTTTCTATCAAATTTTATATTTAAAATTTTGTATTCCTTTCCTTAAATAGAGCCCCAAAGTTTTATTAGCCACAGGCTTCCAAAATTTGGATGTACTCCCACACAGGAACTATGTGAATCAAACAAAATATCCTTCTCCCCCAACAACTTAAAGCTTATGAGAGGGAAATGGCAGTGGGGTGGGTAGGTGTTAGAGCTTGGCTGTGTGGGGCCAAGTACCATGGGAAAGCACCACAGATGCCCCTGACTGCCTCGAGGGTTGATGGTGATGATTAGGAAAGGAAGATGATTCCCAAGCAGAAAGGAGAGGTAAGGATGTCTTAGGTAGAAAGACTAGCCAAAACCTCACATAGACAGAGCTTTAATCCTCACTACTTGATCTAAGGTCCATGAATTGTTTCTTACGCAAAGCTCTGATGACTTCATTTTGGGAGCTCTCCTTTCATTGCTACTTCTCTCAATCTCCTTGCCTACCTTCCCTGGGGAGAGTCAGTTGCCCCTTGCATTGTTCTGGGTCAGCACCCTGTTGATATTCTGGTTTTGCATTCAGCCTTGTTCCTTGCCCTCTTGCAAAAAGGAATATTATGTTAACTCCCTCAATACAGAAACTAAGTCTTTTTTCAATTTTTGCATCCTAGAACCCACCACTTTGTTGGTACATAGTAGGTATCCAATAAATGTTGATGCAGTAATATTTATTGAGCTCCTATCATGTGGCAGCCCCTGTACTAGACACCAAAAAACCACTGGTAAATGAAGCAGACACAGCCCCTGCCATCCTGGGGCTTACATTCTAGTCTGTGTTGAAAGAATAAATGAATAAATGAATGTGGTGTGTGTGCTGAACAAGCTCAGAAAAAGTGATGTCAGGAAAGAGGTGTGAGGCAGTCAGAGTCTGTCTCCTCCAATCCCTCTTCCATTGTTTCAGACTTATCATCCGTGTTACCTCTCTGCTTAAAAACCTCCCAGGCCATCCCAACCAAACCATTTGTCTGTCATTCAAGGCTTCCCAAAGTCAAGCCCACCCTGCTCAACTATCCCAAACCCTTAGGACCCAACAGTACAGAGCCTCTGCTCTTCCCACTGTGCAGTTCTTATACTTACAACTTATGAGAAGGAAATGGCACTAGACTTTGGCAAGTTAACAACCATGATTATATGATACCATCAATATCAACTACAATGAACATTTATTAAATGCCTGCTCTTCAGTAAATAAGCACCAGACTCTGTGGGCTCCTTGGAGAGAAGACCCAATTGCTCGAGGCTAGGAAGATATTCACATGACAAGATCGCTGGTGATCCTAGAGAGCCCATGCCAAGGGACAAATGAGGCTACAGAGATGACAACAGGAGAAGGACAGTTTTTCTGAGACCATTACATTAAGTGTTTTGCATGCCACTTCCTGTATTACATATACATATATCTTACATTATGTAAGCAGCTTTAGTTCCACCAACTCAATTCACTTCTTCAACAAGTATATATGGAACATCTGCCTTGTTCGAGACACCATGATGAGTGCTGAGTTCATGAAAGGCGGCAAAGCAGGTTTTTCACTCTTATGGAACTTCAAAGACAGTGGGTTCTTATAAGAACAATGGGAGGCTTTTTC